ACAGGATAAAATATATTACCCTAAATATCTATGAAGATTGTAATTACTATTATCTTATATTGTTTCTTCGCTTTCTCCAAAATCCTAACCAGGGACGGGGGCTGCAAATTAGCCTTTGGCTAGAAGCCTTGTGTACTTCACATCGGTTACCTGTGGGTGACAATGTTTTTGTTGTACTGTCCCTGTCAAATAAATAAATAAATAAATAAAAAATATATTGTATTTCTATTCAGCAAAATTCGAAACCAGTAAACGGGTGGTGGAATATGCCGTTAAAAATGTCCCTTATGCCACTGTTTTGTTTTTTTCTACTGCATTTCCAACATATTTTGGCCCATATTCTCTGCATCGGATTTTCAGTCTGCTCCAACCTCTCTGCATCTATAAAAAAGTTTGTAAATTACTGGTCGTAGTCTTTCCCTTTGGGGGCTCTCTTAACCACTCGCCCCCAACACCGCTTAACGAACACAGTGCCACAAAGACAAAGACAGTTCCAGTTGACAATCTGTCTATTATCTAATGAAATACCTTATTTAATAAATTATCATCTATTACATATAGTTATGTTCTGTGACAAAATCCATTTTCCTTCGATTTGGAGCAATTTCCTAGTTTGTGAATTAATAATATTAATCATTAATACTCATTGGATCAATCAATAGAACAAGATAGGGTTCAAGCCGCAAATAAAAATGGTTCACACATGATTAAAAAAAGGGGCAGCAAAATCATTGGACAGCAGCAAGACTCACTCACAGACATTTACAATTACAAAGTTTTAAGGAAAGGCTCCCAGATCTCCACAGACAGCTCCCACACTCTGCACTCTCACTACAGTCTGCTCCCATCAGGGCGTAGGTTCAGGTCCCTCCCATTCAAAACAAAAAGGGCCACATCCAGCTTCCTCCCCACCTCAATTCGCCTTTAATTTGGAGACCTGTTTTATGTATTTTATATTGCATTTCTGCTCTTTTACTGTATTTATTCTTAGATTGCGTGTCTCTGTGTTTTTGTGTACCCCCACCGGTGCTCTGTCTGTAAATGAAGTTCCTCACGGATTAATAAAGTTATTGAATTGATTACAGTGAGAGAGCACAGTTGAGGCAGAGTAAATATCCATCCATTCATCCATCCATTTTCTTCCCCTTAATCCATTTCTGGGTCAGAGCTGCACCCAGTACACTTGGCACCAGTCCCTCACTGAACCTCCTGCAGGTGGTGAGTCCACAGGTCCTTCAGCAGGAGCTTCAGGCAAAGTAGGGTAAAGTGTCTTGCCCAAGGACACAACGGCAGCAGTCATCAGTGGGAGTCATGAAGTAGGTCTTATGGTGGGCTCAAACCCATGTCCTTCAGGCTCAAAGGCCAATGCTCTACCAACTGAGCCACTGTCGCCCCAGTGACAGCAGAGTAAATAAAAAATACAAATAAAAATAAACTGTAGAGCACAGTTTTGCCTTAGAGTTGCGTTCTGCAATATTTGTGAATTGATTTGTTTGTGTTTACTGATGCAGTTGCTGGAGGGGCTTCAGTCTTTTTTGAGCTGAATGGATTTTGCAAAGATAAATTAACTTTTGGGGTTGGAGAGGGAGTAGAAAATGGTTCGTCACATTTAATCACAGTAGAATGTGATTGTGATACAGAACAGCTGGAGCCGAACTGTCAATCAACTGAACTGTCCCATGTCCTGTAAGACAAACACCGCTTGTGAACTAAATAGCAGTCCAAATCATTCTGACCCGCTGCCATTAAGAGAATACACTTTTGTTTGTGATGAAACCCTTGGCCACATCTGTCACCATGTGCTGCCCCCAGCCCTACGCAGTAGATATGGAAGTCCCATGACATCTGCAAATCACTGGAGACATTGCATCAAACAAACGATCCCCTACGCCACATACCACACACTGCCTTCATGTTTTCCCGTCCTGCCAACTTTGTACAGAGACAGTCACTTTTCAAGCAAAACCAGGACACGAGACGCATGGCACACACGCACTAAGTGAATCAGCTGTCTCTGGAGGCACACTCTCTTGGAAGTCTGGGCCCTATTAGCTGCTTCGTCTTCTGCCAGATAACACAGACTAAAATCTCTTTGAGCGGCCCACCCTCCAGCCCTTCCATCACGATTCGATTTCTCTTCAGCCTCTCATCGCTCGCTACCTTTACCCAAACGCCTTCATCCTTATTCATGTTGGAAACAAATTGCCGCAAGTATGAAGAATGTGACATAGCTGTACAGGCACAAGGCTTGGCTGGGCTGTGGGGGTGTTAGGTAAACATACAATGAGATGGTGACATACTTTTCCAGTTTGACGTTGACAAAAGTAAAACAAAAAAATACTTCAAAGTATGGCAAATGGTCTCTTCTTTTGTTGATCATTTTTATGTTTTAAAAAATTTTGTCAGAGTACATTCTCTGTGGCAGGTGGTTGTGTATCCTTGCAACCCACAAACAAAGCTTAGTATAAAAAATGTAACCTTCAACTTATTGTCCAAAAAAATATGTCTAAATAATTGTTGTGTATTGAGTATTTTCTTCTCTTTTCAAAATAAAGTTTGAAATGTAGTATTGTGGCAACACAACACTACATTTGCTTGATGGTTTTTAAAGTTTATTTTCTCATACAATATGAGAGAAATTTGGAAAACCAAAGAATCCACACAATACTTTACATCTACAACAGGATTCCCACTTCTGGTCTGGAAAATGTGTATTCTGACCTAGTGGCTCAAAAATAGACCTTTTCTTCATGACCTAATACGAGCTCTCCCATTTATCATGTTTGTTTGACCTTTCAGATGATGTAAGTAAAGGTGCTACTGGGTCAATGCCTTTTTCGTGTCAATGCAAAAAGCAGCATGGCAGTGCGGTGTTGCTCCATTGACCAGAGGCTCCTGTGCGGCTAAATGCAGAATATTGATTTCCTTATATCCAGGGAGCTATCGGGCTCTCCAAGCCACACAAGGTCAAAAAGCTTCGCTCCATTTGTCCCAATGTATTTCATCTTCTGTACAATGAGCTGCGATTATGTATGCCTGTCCATACCACTTCAAAAAGACAGATTGTGACAATCTTTAAAATGGAATTGCACTGGGAATAAGACTGACTTTTGTCATCCGGGTGGGCTGTGTTTTCTTTTGTCGGGATGTATGTCAGCCAGGCCTCATCCCTCTCTGCTGTTATCTCTCTGTACTTTTTTCCCATGCAACATCACATCTTCACACCTCATGCAGAGAAACACAAGCATGGAGGACGGCTCGGAAAACAAAAGCTTTATGTTTTAAATCCCCAGACGAAACAAACGTAGATTGCATTTGTTGACAATTAAGGTTGTAATATCTTTTTTTTTACAAATTCAACATGAATTTGAGCCCACCAACATGTTTATTTACCTACAATGTCTTTTAGAGTCCAAAAACAATATAACAATTAGTGGGGTCAGTAAAATGTGTTGTTAACGGCGTTAACACAACGTCATTTTAACAGCATCCATTATTATAATTTAAAATAGATCGGTTAAAGTATATTTTTGACCAAGCACAATTGCAGTTTTTTTTCTCAAGCTGTTGCAACAGCTATCAACGTTAGAAAAACTACAACACTACTCGGGAATTAGCTGCAGCTAGACCAGAAATAAAACACGGCTCGCGGCGTACATACACACCAACGCGTACAAGTATCAGAAATCAGCCACAATGCAAGCCACGACAGGTCACAGGCCAATCACTGAAGTGATAGTTATCTCTGCTGTTTTGTCATCGGGCTAAAGTTTCACATCCCTCACTATGGCAGCGTTTTTTTTTTTTTTGAGACAGAATACCCCCACGGACATAATGAATGTCATAGAAGTAAAAATCCTGTCGTCTGTAGCCAGCTTTAGTTGTTTATGCTAACTTTTAATAAAAAAAAAATCAGGTAATAATTCTAACCTTTTAGCCAATTGGATCAAGGCAATTAACGTCATATATTGATTACTCTCACCTTATTCTGGAGATCTGAAAAATTCATAGGACATTTCAAAGGTCAAGTAAAACATTTCACACTTAACGAAAATTACTTAATTAGGAGAAAGTGTTCTTTGGTTTCAAACTGAGCAGAAAATGAGCATTAATGAGTGTTAACGGCTCATGCAACATAACCCAGCTGTTGCTGTACGCCAACGACTACCCAACCTCCATCTGAACCCGTGCTCCCACAAAGTTATTCAAGAGCACAAACAAACCAGTTATCATTAACCCTTCTTACACTGATCCCATTTCTCCTAAACTCCGCCAAATTTGATGAAGCTTCAAATTGAACATGTCTGAGAACCCTGTGGAGTACCTTCAAATGGCTGGCCCTGGAGATTCAGTCTCTAATTGTAAGTAGGAACAATCCTCAACAAAGAGAAATATCGAACTCCACAATCTGTCCATGGTAAATATAAAGGAGAGTTGAGCTGGTGACTGTAGAATGACCACACATTGGGTTTTAACAATTCCCATTTCACAGCTGAGGCAAACGTCACCATGAGATTTAGAAACTCCAGGCGGAACACATGTATTATCCTTGTTAACTTTTGAAAAATGTTTGGGCTGTTTTGGGTTTGGTGAGTCTGGTTCAGGTCCAGGTCCAGGTTCATTAGAGCAACATGTAGAAAGTAAACGTCATCTAAAAAGTAACAGAAGGCCATTCAAAATGTGTATGTTCTGTGCATTTCAATACATATAACTTTAGAATTAGAATTAGATTTTTTATCTCTGCGTAGAATGAAAATTGATCCAGATGATAAAGTAAGAAAATATTGATATTGATATAATTGATATTTAATATTGATATAGCAGAGTAACATCCTGTGATTCTAGTATCAATTCAAAAAGTTAAAGATATAATCATATATTTGAAGATAGATAGATCTGAATCTGAATATTTGTGCTGATGATCAAGCAGTGTGTTACTTGTCCAGCACTTCCACTCTCGCTTACATTTAAATATCATTAAGTCAGGAATTGGTACTTACTTTTGTCCTTGATTGCTGTAGTTGTTGTCGTATGATTCATATCCTTGTTCATCATATGATGTTCCATAGCCGTCATCATACTCCTGTAAGACAACATATAATTATTTAATTTCATTATTTTGTGGGTCACAAAGTCCTTTCAAGTCATCTGTCAGCAGAATTGAGTGGTCTGTTTTGTTCGCAAAATGTTACCTTGAAGTGATAGTCTGTAACTCTAAATGAATTACAAACTTTAGGAAATGTGTTAAATTGACCTCCTGGCCTTAAATGTTGATATAAAATAAGTCATTTTATTAATTCTAATATTATGGGTAAGTCCCGCCTTCCCTTGTCTTAGCTATAGATCAGAATCCACGATGCTGTCGAGGTTAACCAATCGAGTCATGCCAAGGGCTGTCAATCATCGGCCAATCAGAAAGGAAGGGGGAGGGAGCTTGCGTCGTTTTTTTCAAATCAAGTACCTCTCTGTCTCTCTTTCTGACAAACTCCAGACAATCACTTTAACCAGACTAGTTGGCCAAAGAAAGTCAACTTAAAAACTACCTAGTTGATCGAAAACCGGGTGTGGCAAAAAACGGCAAAACTACATATTATGTTTTTGACCAAAACTATACAAGACATTTTACACACGCAAAAGACCAAAACATTTCAATTATTAAAGCCTGACTTGAATTCAGCAAAATTTCTATGTAGATACAATAATTAGTTTATCAAGAACAACAAGATACAGACAGCTCTTACTGGGACAAACAACATCTATTTATGAAGCAAAAAAATAGATAATGCTGAAGGAGAAAACGTTCAAACTTTACTGCGAGTCTTCCACAGAGAAAATTAAGTAAGGTGAAAGGAACATGACAGTATTGCTCTCTGCACATGAAACAACCTCAATGTTTATCCAAGACGTCATCAAAGTCAAAGTCAAATGTAAATGTTGCACTTGTTGAAGACTGCTGCTCTCTGACCTTGTCTCCTGTCAGGCCCAGTGACAGTGGGATGTAGAGCTTCTCAGTGTGCTAGCGTTTCATCAGCCACTCAAAGCTTCACCCGAGAACATCTGTTAGTGCAGCAACCATTTGGCTCAGGCTCCCCACTCCCCCACGCCATGCCCCGCCGACAGGGACATCAAAGCCAAGCAGTGCCGCGCCCGTCCTAATTTAGGATAAATGGGACTTATGTTCCACAAAAGGCATGGACTCCCAGTGACATGACTTTCACACTCAACTCACTACTTAGCTAATGCCCATAACTCACTTGCTCAAAATTAACACATTCCAGCACTAGATTCATAAGTAAGGAGTCACTGATCAATAGAACCAATCGTTTAAGATTTACCACCAAAAAGGTAAATGTAAAGTTAAGTAAGTAGCATTCAGTGAACATCAATTATATGGCATAATCTAATGTAGACCGTGTCAAGTGTGACAGTTCCTATAGTGCAACTTTAGAATGTCTGCAGAATGTAAGTAAGTAAGTAAGTAATCTTTATTTCTATACCGCCTTTCACAGACCAGAGTCACAAAGCGGTTTACAATTGTTATCTTTTGGGCAATTTTAGGCAATGTCCACTAAACAATGTTACTTTACTTTATCTACTCATTATCCTGCCCTATGTACAGTATAAAAGTTTGTATGTAAGTAATCTTTATTTATATAGAGATGGGAGCGAGGTGCCCTACAGGAGGCGCATGCCAGACCTATGTTACATGTTTTTAGTGATGTGGGAAACCGGAGCACCCGGAGGAAACCTACGCAGACAGGGGAAGAACATGCAAACTCTACTCAGAAAGACATATAACTCTGCACTACTACTACTGCTACTACTACTTTTTGAGAGACTGATATTGAGGCATTAACAGCTAGCTAAGAAACATATACTAGGGCTGCACAATATTGGAAATTATTGAAATATTCGACATGAGTGTTTAGTATTGCGATAACTAATATATATATTAATATTTTTGTCTGTCACCTAAGATTGCAATCTGCATTGAAACGCAGGAGACAAATAACACAAAATAAGTACAATTTTAATGACATTCAAATACATATATTTATATACTTATTGTTTATTAGTTTGTTTGTTGTTCTTGTTGAATGTTGATGTGTCTGTCTGTTTTGTTGTCTTTGATAAAGATTTTTTTTTTTTTTATCACAGATATTTTCGATATGGATATTACACGCACCAATATCGCGATAACGATATTTTTTTGATATATTGTGCAGCTCTAATAGCTACTACTTAATTTTCATATTTTGTGTGCTCTTACTACTGTCCTGTGTGTGCGCTGCAACATTGAAATTACCCCACTGTGGGACAAACAAAGGATCTCCTTTTTATATAAAATTTGATGTATTAACTATTGTGTCCTCCTCAGCTGACCTCGATGCACAAGGCTCTTGTGACATCACACTTGGATATGCACACACCACTTCTTGCTTCATTTGCACATATTTATCATAACCTACAAACCCGTGATGTAGTTTAATGTGTAAGAAAACTTCTTCTGAGATTCGGTTAAATGGCTGTGACTTGGACTGACCTGTTCTGTGCCTTGTTATCTCAAGAACACAGTCAGTCCATTTATAAATGATAGAATCTTCCTGTCTCAGACACATGCCTGGTCCAAACACACTCAGTCAATCTAAAAGGCTTTGTTTTTTGCATTCACCGGAAAAAAGAAGTAGCAATGAATAGTGCCTTAAAGGAACCTCAGAAGTAAGACAAAAACATGAAAGCTGCTGTTGTGACAAGAGCAATACAATACTTTCAAGTCTCCACGAGAAAATGTCAAAAACAACAAAGTCAGCTGTCTGTACTGCTAAAGTTCACCTGACAGCATTGTTAGCACAGCGTACGTTTCAACTTCTGACTTACAGACATTTACCCTTATTTCTATTTCCATTGATGTTATGTGTGTTTCTAATTTAAAATGTTTTAACCAAACTCACAGTTGCTGAGTATACAGTGGTCCATTATTTATCACAGGGTAGTCCTCAAAATAACCCACAATAAGCAAAATCCCCACACACATTAAACATTATTCTAACCACCTGAACTCACAACTGCTGAAGTGTGATTGCAAATATATCAAAGCTGTTAGTTGAAGGTCTGAGCGCTGCTGCAGCTGTCAAAAGCCATACATAAACAGTAAAATAGGGCTACAGGGAGACTGTAATAGTCCTCTAGACCAGCCATTCCCAAACTCAGTAACACCGAGGCCCCCTTAAAAATCTGACGGGTCTGCGTGGCCCCCCAAAATAATAACCAAGAAGACAACATTAAGAATAGGCTCTTCTGGTTATTTTATTTTGGGGAAATAGCCTCTGCTACAAACATTGTAATACAAAAATGATTACAGTGGATTATTCAAGTCAAATAATGAACACAAATATTTTAATATTACAAACAAAACATTATAAATTTAACATTAAATAATTATATTATTATTATTTTTTTTTATGACTTCCCGCGGCCCCCCTGCAGTACCCTCGCGGCCCACCAGGGGGCCGCGGACCCCACTTTGGGAGACACTGCTCTAGACTAATCACTCCAGTGCACACAAGCAGCCCAACTTTTCTTCTGACTTTAAATAAAGGTAACTGTCATGGTTATATGATGCTAATATGATGTTGTTGGAGAATACACACAGCACACAAGACGCACACTGTATCATTTTAAATGTATAACAACTGTTCATACACAAGCATTTCTTCTGGAGTGCAATTCAGATCTGGATACACAACGCAAAATTACATGATTACGTCTGCAATATCAACACATACAAGACTTGCTTTCCCAACCCCAGTACTAAACATTACTGCTTCATCTTCAACAGCACACACTAACCTGATTTCTAACCCGCCCAAGATGAAGCCACCTGTGCTGGCAATTGGAAATGAATAGAGGCGAGATTCATCCTCATAAAACACAGATGAAGGGGAGGGGCTAATTAAAAATAATGAGCTGTGTGGGCGGCAGTCATATTACATTAGCAATATCATGAACTTATATAACCAAGTATTATTACCTGCTATTTCCTGTTCCTGCCTTGCGTCTTAAAACAAGTCTGATTTGTTTGCGAATTGCTGTAATGAATTTCAGAGTCCCCTGTATGAGAAAAACATAGCTATATAATTTAATCTGGCAGTCAGGAAGCGCTAGACATTGTGTTCTTCAACAAATATCCATAATCTCCACCTCTGACCTGTGTGTTCTGGTGCACAATCTGTCTACATTAGCATTCACAGCCGCACTTATTGTTCCCCTATGGACTTGGCAAAATGCATTGCTGCACAGTTTCTGCGTGTAGCACTGTAATAAATATTTCTTGCGTTCTGTGGTTATGTTGCATATTGTGAGTCACTGAATATCTCAGTCTGGGGTCAGAGTCTCGTTGGCCCCACTGTATTAAAACATGCTGGTAGTGCAAAAGGCAAAATAAATGTCTATTTAATACAGAAAAGCGCTAGTTAAACTTTTCAAGCTGTGATTGCTTAATTTAAAAATTGTTTACATAGTTAATTTTAGTTTTTTAATGAAATGTACATATGTAAATAAAAAACATAAAATAATACAAATAATAGAGAGACAAGCAACAATTCAGAAATAATAAATTTGAAATCTAATAAAACATTTATTGTGATAAGGTCTGTAATTAACTATTTATTTCATTACACTTTGGGCTGTTTGATTGAAATTACTTTGTAAACACGTTGCTATTTTATTCTGCAGTCAAAGAACTGCCATGTTTAAAGATGAGCCGAGAGTGAGACGAGAAAGAAACCAGAGAGAGAGATAAACCAGAGAGCCTGATCAGAGAGAGAGACCTGAGAAAAACCAGTGAGAGAGAGACCAGAGAGAAATTAGAGAGATCAAAGACAGACCAGAGATATACTAGATACAGTATAAACCAGAGAGAGACCAGAAAGACAACTTCCCTTCAATAATTCATTAGTTGTGAATTATCTCCAACAATAATCGCTTATTGTGACAATCATGTTTCTGTAATCATAATAATTTCCCCATTATTAATACATATAGGTACCGGTAAGTATTATTGAGTGAACCACAACACTTGTT